TGGCGACAATCTGAAAGAAGTCGACGCCGTGCCTTGAGTTTGGTATACTCAAATCGGAGGCGTCACTCCACACGCACGTCCACTTCCTTGTGGCTCAACTGTAAGTAATACAGTCAGGATAGTTTCCGGTTCCGTTACACCAATCGCTCAAAGAGCGCTTTGTCATCTGTAGCGCTTTTGCCAGGGGCGATCACGTCAGGTATCGTCCGCATTGCGGGTACACGAGAGCCACCTCGTTGAGCACCCAGACGAGTGCGATAAGCTTCCAACGGAAATTTTGTGGAGCCAAGAAACGAGCTCGAAGAGCTTTCCGTTCGGTAAGCTCATTTTCCGTAATGGCCAGGGGCCCGATGATCTGGAGGCGTAACGATCGAGTGACCTCGTCCTTCGCTTCCACTGCAGGATCCGCCGGGCGGAAGCAATATTCCACACGAGTGTCAATGACCGGCCGTGGATGGGCGCGCATCAGAGCCGCCTTACGGGCAGGTTCCAGCTGCCGCTTCTGTGTGTCATCGAGGTTATTGGTGATGACACCATTTCCCCAGGCGATGAGAGGTCAAGAAACGGACATGGGATCCGCAAGGCACAAGCAGGGCTCGTCTCACACCGCTGGCGCGGCTCGACTTCCTCGTCATCCCCTCTACCCGTGTGCGCTGTCAAAACCAGAGAGACTTATCGACTTCAGTGTCGTTGACAAAGGGCTTATTGAACACGGAAGTCGTTTTGTTTCAACGAACCAAGTTGCAGTGTCTAGCGGACACGCAAGCCTCGTTGAGGCAAATAATCGATTGGAACTGTAAATGTTCTCAATCTTGATGGAAGGGTGTAACGGAGTTACACGTACCCTGGTAACAGGGGGGTCACACGAGATGGGCATGGTGTGACTGCACCCAAACAAGAATACGGTATGTGGCTAGGTAGTCAGTAGTTATGCATGCATTTAGATTTTACTATATTGGAGAAAATCTAAACATCTAAAATTAGGCGGCTTTGCCGCAGATAAAAATAGATAAAAATCAATTTGGATTCTAAACGGAAGAGTAATTAGCCTTAGGTTAAGGTAATGATACTCTTGAAGTGCGATTGCTATCTCGTACTTGTTCTAAGTGTAGAACGAAAGGTCGGTGACCTAAATTACTCTTCCTCTAAGCGCAACGTTACTGCAGCCCCGCTGCAGCAACTCATTTCTCACACTAAATTACCTATTACTGTCGTGCTGACTTCAAATGTTCACCCGACTCAATAAACCAGACCGTCCTGTGATACATTGCAAACATTTTGAAATGATTGCGGGAAATATTGAGAGTCGATTATGAGCGCTTTTTGTCGTCGTCAAAATACCATTATAAGAATCGTACCCATCGAAGGTTATGTTCGGAAATGCGGTTTTGCGATTAAGTTGTGAATTTTACTACTTCACTTCGCAATGCAGAGCAAGAACATCCGTCAATATTGTAATTAAGTTCGACTTATTACAGTACTAAGAAGATCCGAAGGGGCCTAAGTTATGATGTCAGCTTACCAAGATGCGCTCGCTCCATCACCGTCGAACATTAAATCGTCTGAAAAGTCCACTAATTCACAGATGGCCTTACTTTCGAGGCGGCGTTGCGGGACGCTGTGTGCCCAGGCCATTGTAAGCGTAGCGCTGTTTCTTTTCAGCCGGCTTCAAGATCTGAAACGAGCACATGAGCGTCTCGTCTACTGACATCATAGCACCAGCGTTGTCAAATTCGCCACAGTAATTTGGTGCTGAGAACAGCGTAACCAACTGGCGCTTGGCAAAAAATTCATAGCCATCCTCTACCACCTGATGGGCACGACAGATCAAGTCAAGATCATGGCGCTTAAGAAATTGGCTCACGATATCCGGACCAAATGTGAAAGAGACACCACGGTCATTCTCACCCCAGCCCATGATGTCTTTGTCGGGGTCAGACCACAGCAAGTCGCAGAGTAGACCCGTGTCGGGTACATCTGTGGGACGCACGAAGCGCTTAATCTGCTCCATTTGGCTAAGTTCTGGAGACAGACCGCCGTGCATGCAGAAAATTTTCTCATCTACGATAGCGGCCACAGGCAGACAATTAAAGCAGTCTGTAAACGTCTTCCAGAGTTTGATATTGTAACGGCGCTTGCATTCGTCATAAAAGCCGTAAATTCGATTGATTGAGGCACACTCGTGATTGCCACGAAGGATGAAGAAGTTTTCGGGATACTTAATCTTATACGCGAGCAGCAGGCAGATGGTCTCCAGACTCTGTTTGCCACGGTCCACATAGTCTCTGTACAATTATATCAATACGCCAAATTCTTAGTCTCAAACATCACTACGGTAGACAGTGAGCAAATCTGTATGCAGACTACTGGCTCACCCAAGAAACAAATAATTGGCATCTGGAGGAAAACCACCGTACTCGAAGAGGCGCAGCAAATCGTAGTATTGCCCATGGATGTCACCTGGACGTAAAAGTACACGGTTAGCAATTTAGCGAGAGATTATGCGAGAAAATATGTCTCATTAAGAAATAAAATAACTTTGTGTCGCACCACAAATCTTTATCGGAGCCTCTAGCTCCACCAGAATAGGCTGCGCAAGAAAAACTTCCCGCGCGTGTAGACACAAGCCACGAATTTCGGTTTCTGTGAGGTTTACCTGCTTACCGGGGCGCGCGCCGCGCACACTCAGTAACTTCTCGATTATGCTGTCCACGTCGATAGGATCGAGTCCAGACGACGCCATTAGTCCAGCTTTAACTACTTGACACTTTCCTATTTCTTTGAAATGGGCAAGACGTCCCGCGCCAGTCCCCCCCTCGCCCTGGATGTTTCATATGAAGCCTTGCAATTGGACAAAACAATAAATTATTTAAAAATAGGCAGAATTTTGATTACATTATCACCTGAAAAGGTAGCCTGAAAAATTCACGTAAAAACTTGCTCATATTAATATAACAAAGCCGTTTAGTAATGGCATAGGTAGAGTTGTTAGAGTAACCATCTGTGCTCGAAGAATGTCAGTGATATATCCCTTGCACGTTTTATATATCTGTTATCCATTCATTAACGTAATTTAGGTCTCAGAGTGAATGCATTCTATGGTATTCATCTAGTTAATTAATCGCGCAAAAATTTATGCGCAATGTAAGAGACAGACAATTTTGTCCAAATGGTCTTGATCTTACATTGTGCATTACAATTAATAAGTGCAAAAAGAATTGTTGCCGGACGTTCGGCTGCGTCAACGCATGTGTTTTGAAAAATGGCAACAATAACGTCGCACTGCCCTTTCTCGCATACTGTAAAATCTAAAAAAATCATGCCACCTTATCCAAATCTGCCGACCCATCGTCATCCAAAATGTGTGATCATCACGAAGAATATCCTGATAACGGCAAGAGCACTGGTATCGCTGATGGAATGCTATTTCTTCGCAGAACGTGACAAATATGGATCAGCGCTGGATGTCATCGATTGATCGCGCAGAGTATGGTGTGAAGCCGCACCCTGCTGTGTTGAATTTTGCCAAAATATTTTTTTAAATTCAAAATTCTGCCTGCAATATTAATCCAGCTACACGTTCCTTTTTAGATGGGTGGGTGTACCTATGGAAATACATATCCTGTTTTCATAGACTATAATCAGTTTTGTCATAACCATAATTGCTAAGTCTTTCCCTTCCTCAAATAAAAGAATCCGGTAGGGTATCTCGTTGTCGCGTCGTTTCTCTCTCGGTGATGGGCATATCGCATCGCTTGACAGCAACCGTTTGAGTGACCGAGAAACTCGCGGATGTTTAAAACCATTCCACAATTTGCGTACCCTAACTCACATCAGCTGAAACAGTCATGTCTAATAGAAGCAATTTGAAGCCGTTGCCACGTTGCCTCGTGCGCCGTCCGCTACAATTTGCGTCTCCCGCTAAGGAGACGCAATATCGTACTGAGATGGACCGTGTGCAGCAATTTATTCGCGCACAGGTTGATGGTCTTGACGAGGTGTCAAGTCAATTGCTAGGTGTGAATGATAGTCGCACGCGTTGTCACTACGAGGAGATTCAGGAATTTCTGGAGCGCAAGCAGCGTTTTGAGCAGCAGCAGTGCCGACGGCAGCATGCTCATACGACTGCTGAGCACGTGCTCATTCGCGGCCTCGACGAATATCTTGATGAGTTGGATTCCAGTTTATTCGAGTACGCGCCAACGATATCTGAGCGTCTAGTTGTCACCAATCTACCAGTGCAGAGCAGCTACATTCGTCGAAAACAGGAAGAGGCAAAGCTGGCATGTTTTCGGGTCCAATGTCAGACTGTTGAGACTGATAGCTGCGTAGTGTCTTGCGGGGGTCCGCTTAAGCGTTTGCGAGTGATGTGAGCAGATGTCGTAAGACTAGACGATGGCATGCAATTGAGGTGACGCTTAGCACCTGCGTAACATGGCACTACATTAAGTAATTTATCCAAAGACATTAAGCTTTTTTTTGCTTTCGGAAATGAAGCAGGGGGAATGTTTGAGAGATGGCAGCTTCGATGATTGATCGGCAATAAGTGCATGAATGAACTTTAAGCAGTTGACCTTGTCCTAGATGAGATATACCATACCAAAGATAAGTTGTAAAAGATGTGTCACAGATAGGAGGATTACAAAGCCTGACTTGTTGATCCCGCAATTAGTTGAAAGTTTACTAAACAGTCCACAGTTATGTACAAGCCTAAGTTGTAGATGTAGCCCTCAAAAGATCTTAAGACAAGGAAAGGGACGCAACCTAGATCGTTCTCTAGCTTCGACCGTGGTGAGACTCTAAATCACAATCAGTGGATTTGAGTGAAATATCAAATAACCGCAAAACGAATACTATTTGATAGTGCAAACCTGATTAGCAAATTTCGGGTAGAAATTTAAGAGATTTACATAAGAGTTTCCTCACTCATCCTTTTTATCAAAAGCTTCAATCACTCAGTACTAACCTTTTTCTTTTGAAGCTACGAGGTTGCCGTGCACTTTGACCAGAGGTAGATTGACTTTAATGGCCCGCAAACAAACGCACAGATGTTGGGCTCGCGCAATTCCTACAGGAACGGAATCGATAGCATCAGCCGTAACTAGGAGTTAAGTTAGCAATGCTATACTAAGAGTACATATATTTAGAATCAGACTAATACTCAATTTATTCTTTAAAAGCCTCATATAAGCAACCTGTCGTTTTTCTTAATACTAATACTTCGGTTCTTACGACAGTTCAAGATTACACAAAACAACGAAGATGTCGTACAATTGTAATGTAAATTTAACCATATGCATACACAAGATCACAGTGGTAGTGTGACAGGCGAGCACTGGCGCAACCCTACTCTTACCAACATGTGTAGTCCTTCTCGTCAGCAACTACCTTGGAGTTTTCTTTTTCTCTCGTCAATGTGCCGCTGCTGATCACGGCTTGTCGGGAGTAGCTCCAACAAATCTGTTGCGACAGCGTCATCTGCAATATTTGTGCTGGTCAAGACGGGGCGATGCTCTGTCTCCACCAAACACCATATCCGGCACTCTCCGGCCCCTCGACTCAGAGCTCATGGTCCTCGTCCCCTTCTGGGTTAATCTGCAATCGAATCTTACTTTGTTGATGCATAGAGTTGTCACGCTTTTGGTACTGCGCTTCTTAAGGTATGAGCACACATTTTTTACCGATCTGTGGCTCTTTGCTAAGATTTCCAGCTACCTCTTTGGTAATGCCACTGGATGCAGTTGTGTAAAAGCTTTTATATGTAGTGTCTATAGCATGCCCGATACACAGCCTACGTGATAGACGTATACGATTAATCAATTGAAAAACGCTTGAAACACGTTGCTATATTTGATAAGTCATCGTCTACACGGTAAATAAAATTATATTAAAGGAAAAGAACGCTGAAGTATAGAAGAAGAAATCTTGAGGCCGTGGTAGCACAACCAAAAATGATAAAGTTTACTAAGGTCTTTCGCCTTTGTCCTAACTTTGCCATTCTGATCATCCATATCAAAATTACTCTGCTGCAATCATGTACAGTAAAATAGCCAACAAAATAATCAAGGGGCCTGGTCTCTGGATTGGAATTCCCCGTGGACCCTGAACACTGTGTCCGTTAAACAGTGTTTCTTTTTTTTGAAAGTTGCTATGTATCATCTTATTACACGGCTATACCTACTCGGCCCTGACTAAGCTATTACATTGCTAATTCCGCTGGCGTATTATTTTCTTGATTTTAATTCTTGATTTTTCTTGTACGAGTCGCCATCCCGAAGT